AGAAGGGATGAGTGATTTTATAGGGATACAAAACAAAATAACGTGTGTGTGTTTGTGTGCGTGTGGACATGTGCAATAGAAATATGTAGAGATACACAATGAAAATGACAAATAATAAGGCAAAATACTGAAATCCAATTTGATCACACATTTTATAGTTCTGCATTGGATGAAAGTACGACATTAAAGGTATAGGAGATTATCTACTTCTAGTGGATCCTAAGACCAGGGGCTGGTTCACACTTTTTCAGCATGCGAGCTACTTATAAAAGGATCAAGTCAAAATGATCTACCTACTACAAAAATGCTAATAATATATTTATTTCAAAAAATATTCTTTATACCTACAATGTATGTTTATTGTACATGCAAAACCGCATGAGCCAAATAGGCACACACATCACAATTTTTCTATGTACATTTTTTGTCATTTACCCGAGTTTACTCTTATGACTTTGCACTGAATTGAATCGGCCAGGATGCATAAGTTCTGGAACAATTGGTGGTAACTCGCTGAACACAGTTTGTCGGTGGTTTCGCGTTCCCATGCATGCGCGCGGATGTTTGCGATGTTGCAGTCCCCAACGTGTCAGTAAAACATTACAGAGTAAAAACACATGTGCAGTCACCTAGAGTGTCAAGTTAAAACATTACTGAGTTTAAAACACACCTTGTTGCAGTCACTAAGTTGTCAGATAAAACCTTACAGAGTAAAACACACATGTGCCAGTCATCCTAAGTTTCAGTAAAACATTAAATGTGTAAACACAGATGTCATTTGACTGTGGTGCCGTCCATGTGCCATGCGGTTTTTTTTAATGCCAAATATTTTTCCCTCCTCAGTTTATAAAAAATTTGCATCCACACATCTGCGTTATCAATCACATTCGTAACATTTCCAAAACATGTGCGTGTCCTACGTCCTGTCCTGCGTTGGGGGAAAAACAGAAAGTGGGCGGAGCTTTGATGGCAGACGCCGGGTAACGGCACTATTACAGTATAGAAGAACTCGAGTAAAGAGTATGTTTACAAGCACTGACCCGTCCTCAGCCCTGGTTTAGTTCCTGGTTTAGTCACTGGTTTAGTCTCTGGTTTGTTGTTTTCAGGTGGAGTCCCCTGCGATCACTTTGCTGCTCTCTGATGTGGAGGACTGTTCGCTGCTGCGAGATCTCACAGCGTCGTTTTAAGGTGTAGTATGAGCCATTGCTTCAGTGATCAGAGGAATTTAGGGGTGGTACTGTGGCTGTGGCGAGAACGCAAACTCCGGTTTCTCTGATACACAACAAATGCATTAACGGTTTCTTGTCTCAGTTTCAAAAATCTCACTTTGCCCGTGAGTTTTTTGTTATATTAGTTTAGAATGTGTAATTTTTTATTTATTTAATGCGATCTACCAATATACCTTTGCGATCGACTGTAGATCGCGATCGACGTATTGGGAGCACCCGCTCAAGACTATTGGTACTCCTAATTGTCAATCATGTGGTGATACGTACTCGTCAAAGAGGCCCAGAGTGTTTCGTTCTTCCTAAAATTTGGGAAATCCTCTTTATTCCTTCCTATTTAACATAAGATAAGAGAAACCTTTATTTGTCCCACAGTGGGGAATTTTCAATGTGCCGCGCCATACAAGTCAGCAGTTAAGAGCCAAAGATGGAGCACACAAATATACATAACTGCTGTGTTTCTGGAGTAGCTCTAAATACGTCAATATAATCTATCATTATAACTGTCTAGTGATCTATACAGTGTAAAGGAGTATACAATTATATTATTTGTCAGCAGTGTTAAATAGGACAATACTTTAATTGTACTTTATGGGGAAGACAAGCTCCAGCTTCTTTCTCTGGATAAAAGTGGCAGTGAGCTACTCCTTGGTACAGATGAAATAAAAAGGTAAACCTAATGGTGTGGCTAAATGGATCCAAGTGGTTTTTATCTTGATTATATTTTGTGGTTCTTTTCACAAAGATTTGAAATGGCACAAAAGCTGAAACAACAATTTTATTCAAGCTGCAAAGATTGTATTTCTTTTTCCATTTGGCAAATCCTGTGTTCAAGGACCTTCAAAAGGTTTTCTCTTCATTTAGCCATTTTGGGTTAGGGTTATTGATTAAAACATTTCTAAATTGTGAAGTCTCATACAACAAGACAATACTATGGTTTATCTGCACAAAGGAAATTAACAATTGTTTTAAAACATGTAGGCTACTTGTAAAAAGCTTGTAGCTTTTTCAAACTTGTGATAGAACAAACAGTTTGGAGAGAAGTGTAGAATGCAATTCATTACATAGTTTTATTTTTTTTTATTGTGGTGAAAACCAGCTTTTATGAAGTCATAATAATTCTTGGGCCAGTACAGTCATAAATCTGGGACACCTGTGATTTGATCAAAATCCTATGGCAGGATTCTAAAAACTGAGGAAAGAACCGCCCTCTCAACTTTTTGAAAACAAAACAGTAGATGTTTCCTTTTTTTTATTTCATAAGTGTAGTTTTCTCATCCCACCTTACTTCCTATACCGTAGTATGGCACATCCAAAATGCTCCGTTCTACTTGCCGCCAAGTTAGCAAGTGAAGTGGTTTTGTTCTTTGAGCAAAAATGACATTTGATTCATACAGAACATGTAGAAAACGATGTAAGACTCATTTACAGGGGTGGTGGTCAAAGGAAGAGCAAAGAAATTATGTCTAGTCTCAAGGAGATGGTCAAATTACTCAAACATGAATGAGTACCCTGAACAAAGTTCGGTGTGTAAAAGCCAACATAACATGGTCAAAGGCTGTGGAACTTATATTTTGCAATGTTGTATGTCCCTTTATAAAATGGAAAGGCTGTAGGATATGTCGTTCCCCCTTGACTCGTGCCCTGGACCAATCAGCATTCTGCCTGTGTCGTGGAGTTGGATAAACCATAACATAGTTGAGTTTTTTGAGGTCGGAGTTGATGCGGAGACTCTAGCCTGTCTCGGAGCACTAATCTAACAGCCTTCCTTCACTTTCTTGATGTGCAAATAGGGAACAACTTTGCAAACTCGTGTGCATGTTTGGTCCGTGTCAATCCAGTGCGTGTATTGAAGCTCCTGTCATGGGCCCATCACCGCCCCGTCCTGAGCTGTCACTGCCTAGTATCATGTGGGGCCAAGTGCAGCCAGTGTGGAGCTGTCACCACACCCAAGCCTCTGATCGCTGTGACACGCGCACACTTTGAAATGCACAGTGCCTTGCCTGCAGGCAGCTGTTCCACGGAGGTCACCGAGGGTCTCATTGCAACTCCCAAAACCTCCAAATAGCGGGGAATGTAGTTTGTTGTTTTGTATTGAGGTGTGTTTGTTTTTCTTTTTACGTGACAATTTTTTTTATACCAACAAAGTCTCGTGTTTAGACTTTCTTCATGTCCCAAGATATCATGCTCGCTTAGTGGCTGAATAGAGGTATTTTTTGAGGCGTTTATTAATTTTAAGCACAATGACTGCAATGGGCGGCTCAAATATGTCATTCATAACTCTGTAATTACCACTCCAGAGGCAGAAATGGGCCCAGCACGGTGGCTGTAGTGGAAGTATGCTCTCGTTTCTCATTAAGAAGGTCTTCAGGTTTGGGAATGGGTTTCTACAGCGACACTGCTCCTGACCTAAGACTTAGGGGCATCAAGGAGGGTTAAAATGTAGAGGGAAAAATTGCACTACAGGAATTCCATCCATCCATTTATTTTCTTTCCCTTAATCCATGTTGGGTTGGTTAGGGCGTGTTAATAATCAGAGCTAGCCACCTAATTTCACAGAGCACCAGCCCCTCACTGATCCACCTGCAGGTGTCCACAGGAGGATGGTGCTCTAGTCTGAGTGCCTAGGATCATTCCGCGGGGTCTTATGACAAGGGGGGATTACGTATACTTGCCCAAGGACACAATGACAGCAGACATCCGTGGGAGTTTGAATAGATCTTGTGTGGGCCTCAAACCCACTAAACCTCAAGCCCCAAGGCAATGCTTAACCATAGCCACTGTCGCTCCTCTGCAGGGGATTTACTCAAGAGATAATTTTTACTAAACAAATATACTTTGTTTTAAAACAGACACACCATTACAGTTTTATAAAGAATATGCTCATCCATGCTTCTTCAACACACACACATAAGTGATGGATGAAGCGTCCGTTGCTAAAGGGCCAAATCATTTCCTTTATAAAGAGAAAAAACACAAAATCCATCTGTTACGCTTGTGCTACTCGACATTTAGGGTTGTACAAATATATAATCGGAAGTTTCCTGATGTGACAGCAGTTAAAGAAATTAAATCACCAATGACAAATTGTAGGGATTGTTCTATAAAGGTGTTGCAAATTAAATATATTATTTATGGCGGTGGGTTTGTGCTCTTCCATGTGCCATAGTAAACCGGCAGGTGTAATCAGGTCGTACTTTACTGCAAATTATTTTATGAGAATATGTGTCGTGTGATGGTTATGTTTAGAGAATCCAGGCAGCCATTATAGGGGCCAATGTCCGATTAAACATAAAAGCTGGGGTATTAACTTCTTTCAAAACTTATGTCTCTATCCCTAGTTTTCACATGGATTGCCTTCTTGGTATCTGCCAATTGGAAACATGATGTTTATTTTTTTTCTAATAGAATAAGATAGCCTTTTTTGGTCTGATACGTCAATATTTCTGTTGGGACAAACATGATCCCAAGAAAAAGTATTTACTTGGTAGTTAGTATTTTAGTATTTTTATCATGCATTTCAGTATATTTTTATTAAATTTTGTATAAGCCATGTCATATTTTGCATGGTATATTATAACGTCCTTGAAAAGTTGACATGGCTTTCCCAACCCTCTCAGTGAGTCACACATTCACCACCAGCCACAACCACTAAACTCGAAAGACACTGCCCTGTCACCACGTCCATGTTATTCAATATGATGGGCCCAATACAACCAGCCTTCTGTTGATTTTCTGTTTATCCTCTTTTTGGACTTGGATGTCACGTTGAATATGGCAGCTCCGGCGACAGTATTGGCGGGGGTGGTGCGGTGTCCGTTCCGATCGGATCAGCTGTGTACGGGACTGTGTATGGGTTTGTGTGCGAGTCCCCCGGAGCACACAGCTTGTGCTCCTGTATGTAGACCTACATGATGGGGGACCCGATGGGGTCTAGTCTGTTCGGGGACGTACAGTAAGTGGGCCCTCCGACTCTCAGCTGTGTGGAGGCGCTGATGAACCTCCCCTGAGTTTATCGAAGGCAGTTATTTGTTATTTTTGCCGTGAGCCTATTACAAGGTCCTGTGACAAGAGTGTATAAAATTGAGTTTGAATTGTACAAAAGTGAGAGTTATAATTGTGGGAAGTAATTATACGTGTTGTGCCAACGTCTTAAAATAGGATAATTACTAGTGGTGGGAAGCAACTTCTTTCGTAGGTTACAATTCTAATTGGATCAGAACAGCCATTCACTTGCATGGAACAAAGTAAATATGGTGAGATTGATTATAAAAAATTTACTAATGAAAAAGAAACAAGAATTCTGCATTGGACATTTGTTGGAACTGTTAATTAATTTATTATGATTACAAATAATTAAATAAACAGTACCACAAAATGTCCATGCAGAATTCTAGATCTTTGTCATGATAATAATCATTCATCCATATTTACTTGTTCATTTCAAGTGATGCTGTTTGCTCCATTTAGAATTGTAACCTACTAAAGAAAGTTGCTTCCACCACTAGTATTTATCCTGATTTTAGACCGTTGCACAACAGTATAATTACTTCCACCAATTATCCTCTCACTTTTGTACCAATTTCAAACTCATTTTTTTACACTTCTTGTACAGGACTCTTGGGTAATGGATACGCCAAAAATAACAAATAAATTCCTCTCGTTAACTCAGGGGAGGAGATCCTGTCTCCTCGGCCTCAGAGCTCGGTGTAGATCCTGTCTCCTGGGTCTCAGAGCTCGGTATAGATCCTGTCTCCTCGGCCTCAGAGCTCGGTGTAGATCCTGTCTCCTGGGTCTCAGAGCTCGGTATAGATCCTGTCTCCTCGGCCTCAGAGCTCGGTGTAGATCCTGTCTCCTCGGCCTCAGAGCTCGGTATAGATCCTGTCTCCTCGGCCTCAGAGCTCGGTGTAGATCCTGTCTCCTCGGCCTCAGAGCTCGGTGTAGATCCTGTCTCCTCGGCCTCAGAGCTCGGTGTAGATCCTGTCTCCTCGGCCTCCAGAGCTCGGTGTAGATCCTGTCTCCTCGGCCTCCAGAGCTCGGTATAGATCCTGTCTCCTCGGCCTCAGAGCTCGGTGTAGATCCTGTCTCCTCGGCCTCAGAGCTCGGTGTAGATCCTGTCTCCTCGGCCTCAGAGCTCGGTATAGATCCTGTCTCCTCGGCCTCAGAGCTCGGTGTAGATCCTGTCTCCTCGGCCTCAGAGCTCGGTGTAGATCCTGTCTCCTCGGCCTCCAGAGCTCGGTGTAGATCCTGTCTCCTCGGCCTCCAGAGCTCGGTGTAGATCCTGTCTCCTCGGCCTCAGAGCTCGGTGTAGATCCTGTCTCCTCGGCCTCCAGAGCTCGGTGTAGATCCTGTCTCCTCGGCCTCCAGAGCTCGGTATAGATCCTGTCTCCTCGGCCTCAGAGCTCGGTGTAGATCCTGTCTCCTCGGCCTCAGAGCTCGGTATAGATCCTGTCTCCTCGGCCTCAGAGCTCGGTGTAGATCCTGTCTCCTCGGCCTCAGAGCTCGGTGTAGATCCTGTCTCCTCGGCCTCCAGAGCTCGGTGTAGATCCTGTCTCCTCGGCCTCCAGAGCTCGGTGTAGATCCTGTCTCCTCGGCCTCCAGAGCTCGGTGTAGATCCTGTCTCCTCGGCCTCCAGAGCTCGGTGTAGATCCTGTCTCCTCGGCTATCTATTTTATTTGATCTATGTTTTTATATAAATTGCTACAGCACTTGTGCATTGTCTCAGTTAGAGCAGTGTTGTGCTTGTTTGATATTGTGTTATTGTGTGTCATCAGTGTGCAGTGTGTGTCATCAGTGTGTAGTGTGTGTCATCAGTGTGTAGTGTGTGTCATTAGTGTGTAGTGTGTGTCATCAGTGTGCAGTGTGTGTCATCAGTGTGTAGTGTGTGTCATTAGTGTGTAGTGTGTGTCATCAGTGTGCAGTGTGTGTCATCAGTGTGCAGTGTGTGTCATCAGTGTGCAGTGTGTGTCATTAGTGTGTAGTGTGTGTCATTAGTGTGTATTGTGTGTCATTAGTGTGTAGTGTGTGTCATCAGTGTGCAGTGTGTGTCATCAGTGTGTAGTGTGTGTCATCAGTGTGCAGTGTGTGTCATCAGTGTGCAGTGTGTGTCATTAGTGTGTAGTGTGTGTCATTAGTGTGTATTGTGTGTCTTTAGTGTGTAGTGTGTGTCATTAGTGTGTAGTGTGTGTCATCAGTGTGCAGTGTGTGTCATCAGTGTGTAGTGTGTGTGTCATCAGTGTGCAGTGTGTGTCATCAGTGTGCAGTGTGTGTCATCAATCAATCAATCAATCAATCAATCAATCAATCAACGTTTATTTATAGAGCGCCTTTCCTACACAAGGCAACGCAAAGCGCCTCACAACCCATATAACATCATGCATAAATCATCAAACATTAGAATTTAAGTAAACATAAAAAGACAGATTAAGAGCACAAGATATATAAAATCACACAAGTAGTTAAAAACCGTAAAAAATTAAAATCACACAAGGGATTACAATCATAAATAATCATAAATAATCATAGCGCATTAAAAAGATTAAAGATAAAAACAAATGTAAAATCATTCACTTGTATGCACAGCTAAAAAGAACTGTTTTCAGTTCAGTTTTAAAAACTGCTAGAGTAGACGCCTGTCTCACACTCTCGGGAAGACGGTTCCAGACTCTAGCTGCATGAATCTGAAACGCAGCCTCATCATCAGTGTGTAGTGTGTGTCATCAGTGTGTAGTGTGTGTCATCAGTGTGTAGTGTGTGTCATCAGTGTGCAGTGTGTGTCATTAGTGTGCAGTGTGTGTCATTAGTGTGTAGTGTGTGTCATCAGTGTGTAGTGTGTGTCGGGAACTGCTCAGAGACATGAGTCAAAAATTACCATTTAATAAAAGTGCGTTGTCCCTGAATATTAATAAATGAATAAAGTTTTTTTTTTTTTTACAGTGAATTAAGGATGAGTGGGACTAGGATTATTTATGGTCCTGAATAAGTAATATCTCAGTGTATTTACTAAAAGTCTGATCGAAAACCCATCCATTCATCTTCTTCCGCTTCATCCGTTGCCGGGTCGCGTGGGCAGCAGTCTAAGCAGAGATAAAATACACTATATCCACACACACTTCCTCTTGATTAAAAACATTAAAACATTAAAAATCACACAAAAAATTAAAATCATAATTAGCCACAGTGCGTCAAAAAGAGTAAAGATAAAATCCTTTTGTTGGAACAATAAACAGTTTATTTAATAAACAGTTTATTTAATAAACAGTTTATTTAATAAACATTTTTTTAATAAACATTTTATTTAATAAACAGTTTATTTAATAAACAGTTTTGTGGCAGATGACGTCGTGTTGCATCATGTGTCGGGAGTTCACGTCTGACAAGTGCCTTTTAGAGCCAGAGACGTGTCCGTGCAGCAGCTGGAGCAGAAACAACATTTTAGTAAAAGTAGGAATAGTTGTTTTTCTCTAACAGACAAATGTGGGAGAGTTATTTTCTGGCAGTTTAAACATGTAAAAATGAAGCAGTTTAATTTCTTCTGTCATTATAAACATTTAGATCTGAGGTCACGTGTTTTTCAAAGATTTGTGTCTGTTAAGAATTTGAGCGGAACGAATATTAATATATGTGAAGCAGGTAATAAATAAATACTTAATCTAATAATAATAATAATAATACATTTTATCAATATTGCATTCACCTCAAAATTTTACAGATTAAAATACAGAAAAAACAAATAAACAAAAACATCAGACGTACATATACATGTATCAAAACGAAACATGAAAGTGTTAAAAGCTCAGAAAATTTAGAAAACAAGACGAACCCTCATAAAAAATATAAATATTTCTCAAATAAGAATAGATTTAAATGTGCAACAGTGTAACATATGAACTAAACTAAATCAAGACTAAATAATAATAAAAATCCCAGTTCAAGCGTTAGTTCAGGCTCAGAGCAAGTCGCAAAGTGCCCCCTAGTGGCAGCTCAGGAAACGTGCGAAAAACACCTTTCAAGAGGCCACGAGCAGTCTTCTGTGGAATATACTGTAGAAGCACATTTTAGAGAATAATATTCAGGAAAGGCAAGTTTATTTATAAAGAACAAACATACAAGGCAACTCAAAGTGCTGAACAAAATAAGAAAACATTAAAATAATAAATAATCACAGAACATTAAAAAGAAAGATAAAAATATAAAATCCCTCAGTTGTAGCACAGTTAAACAGAACTGTCTTTAACCTGGTTTTAAACATTGTCAGAGAGGAGGCCTGTCTCACATCTTCAGGAAGATTGTTCCAGATTTTAGCAGCATGAATCTGAAAAGCAGCCTCCCCATGTTTAGTTCTGACTCTGGACACTAACAGGAGTCCAGTCCCTGTGCTCCTCAGAGTCCCAGCAGGAGGCCAGTCCCTGTGCTCCTCAGAGTCCAGAGTCCCAGCAGGAGTCCAGTCCCTGTGCTCCTCAGAGTCCCAGCAGGAGTCCAGTCCCTGTGCTCCTCAGAGTGCCAGCAGGAGGCCAGTCCCTGTGCTCCTCAGAGTCCCAGCAGGAGGCCAGTCCCTGTGCTCCTCAGAGTCCCAGCAGGAGGCCAGTCCCTGTGCTCCTCAGAGTCCCAGCAGGAGGCCAGTCCCTGTGCTCCTCAGAGTCCAAGCAGGAGTCCAGTCCCTGTGCTCCTCAGAGTCCAAGCAGGAGTCCAGTCCCTGTGCTCCTCAGAGTCCGAGCTGGTTCATATTGTACTAACATCCATCCATCCATCCATTTTCTACCCTTTAATCCATTTCTGGGTCAGGGGGGTGGCAGTCAGAGATGCACCAGCCCCTCACTGACCCTCTGCAGGTGGTGAGTCCACAGGAGGCTGCTCTCTGAGTGTGAGCATAGCCTTGATCTTTCAGTGGGGGCTTTGGGCAAAGTGGGGTTAAGTGTCTTGCCCAAGGACACAACGACAGCAGTCATCAGTGGGAGTCGGTGGAGAAGGTGCAGAGGTGGGAATTGAACCCACGACCTTCAGGCCTGAAGGTCGTGTACTAACATGTCACTAATAATAAGATATTTTGGTGCGAGGCCATGGAGAGATTCATAAAGATTCCTCTCATTTTCGTTCGGTTTAATTAATCATGATTTGCAGTTCAGCAGCTACATCCTAATCACTCACCAACCCAAAGACATGTAGCTACTGGGGATTTACGTAAAAAACCCGTAGAAACAAACAAACAAAAAATATGCAGGTAAGAGTTTCACGTGTGACTATGTGACGTTTTTTCCCCTCAAATTAAATTCACGTTGATGTGGAAAGATGTGAAGGAGAAACTTCTACATCACAACGCAATATTTTGGGGATAGATATTATCAGCAGTAATAATATTATACATGAAAATAATATAAAAAAAAATCCCACAAATAAAAATGATTAAAAGTCTGTGGTGAATGAGTTTGATGCCCAAAACCTGGACTGTCCTCTGCTCTGACTGTGAGGAGGTACTGCCCCCTGGTGGCCGCTCCACGAAAGCGTTTTTTCCCCGTCTCCTACTGGTGCTTTCTCCTGGTGCTTTCTCCTGGTGCTTTCTCCTGGTGCTTTCTCCTGGTGCTTTCTCCTGGTGCTTTCTCCTGGTGCTTTCTCCTGGTGCTTTCTCCTGGTGCTTTCTCCTGGTCCTCTCTCCTGGTGCTTTCTCCTGGTGCTTTCTCCTGGTCCTTTCTCCTGGTCCTTTCTCCTGGTCCTTTCTCCTGGTCCTCTCTCCTGGTGCTTTCTCCTGGTGCTTTCTCCTGGTGCTTTCTCCTGGTCCTCTCTCCTGGTGCTTTCTCTGACAACACACGGAGGTAATGTGAACTCTTAACTTCTTTTCCGTGTATGCATGGGCGTCGGACTGGGGGGGTAAAGGGTACCGAGTACCCAGGGCCCAAGGCGGGGAGGGGCCCTCTAAAGTGTGTCTTTATATTTATATGTATTAGGCATTATGGTATATTCATATTATTACAATTTGAATGAAAGGGGCCCTGTATAAAAATAACCAACGTTTCAACCTCAGTTTTCCTCTAAAAACAAATTTGTATGCTGTATCAGGGCCCTGCCACCCCCTTACAAAAGATCAAATGGTACGACCCACATGTGCGCTTGTTGCTGTGTTGCTGCCGCTGCAGCGAGTTGACTTCTTTGACAAGCAGCGGCAGAAGCGGGAAAAATAGAAATGTCTTTTCCAAAGAAAAGAAAATCAGGATTTCAGAAAAGAAAAGAAAGACAGGACAGGGAGAAAAAGTGTAATGAGGGCAAGCAATTGCTTACTCAGTTCTTCCACATGAGAGGTGAGTAAATAGAGACGTGTTAAGGCCACATCAGGAGAAAACCCAGAGACGTTTGTTTCTGTATTCTAAACTCACGGAGAGCTAACAGTGTGCTGTGTACGTGGTAAAAAAAAACCTTATCCAGAGTGACACACACAGACGCGCAGCTGTAAAGGGAGCTCACACACACTGCTGTCCACTTCTCCTTCAAAGGCAGGCAGCAAAGAGTTATTTTCATGTAACCCTGTACCCTATATTCCCACTATTGTCATAATCTGTCCGTCCGAGTCTTGCAGTCATAAGTCACGGGTCACTCACTGGCCTCTGCATTCATATACCCCTGACTGCAGTCCGCAGATCGGGGCGGAGCTCAACGTGGGCGGAGTCAAACGTTTGACTCCGCCCACCGCGGAAGTTTCTTTTTTTTTACGGAAGCGTTTTTTTTTTTTCATTTTACCCTGATTTTAATCTTGATCAAGGGTAAAATCATCAAGTTGATGATTTAAAAAAATAATTAATATTTATCGGTCCCGATATGCTTTTCATTCTTCTACTCCTTTGTATATTATGTATATTTATAAACTATTTTTGGTACCATTATTTATTATTGCACCTGATTCTGACCGATTCTGATGTTACGCCTAAGCTTGTAATAATATAAAAAGCTTTTTGTATGGGACACCATTCATTGTTATTTATATCAGGATCACATCTGGTGTCAAAATGTAAATCTTTGGTAAAACCTGTTTCTTTTTGTCTCAAATGTAAATACCAGCTTACATAATAGTAAGGTTACATAATATTCTATATGCATTCTTGTCTCATAAAATAAATGATACTAAAATAATAGTAATATGATTACATTTCCATGAGCCCTCACAACTTTACACACAACTTTTTAATGAGGTTCAGCTCCCACTGAACTAGAACAGTGAAGTGAAATCAACATTTAATATCAGGCTTCTACTTTCAACTTGTCAAAAGCCTTATTTTTTTACTGTCCATTATTTTTTATCCATGCTGCCTTCATTTAAAAAAATACAAATTCTTATATAAATGTATCCACTCAATTATATAAGCTACATTAAGGAGAACAGAGACTGAATTGTGCCACTGACACTTCTTAAAACATGCCGAGGTTTGAGGTGGGGTAGCGAGACAGTGGACCCAAGGATGCAGACTTGATGTTTCAAAAAGGTAAATTTTACACAAACAAAAGCCATAACCGGAACACAGGTATACAAAAAGTACAAATAAAATCACCAAAAACCACACTAGGAGAACCAAAACAAAGTGAAAATGCAAAGAAATGCAGCATGTGTGAGCAGAAAATTATCTCATTTCAAAGCCGGAAAACACCTGCAGCTGCCTTTTGTCCATCATTTCCTTGCAGAACTCCTCATAGTCTGCCTGCAAACTAAACATGAACATGAACGGTTCACTGAGGTCTTCTTTATACTCTTCATCCAGGCCATCACACATGCGCAGCATTTCCACTGCCCTGCCAGCTACTTCGCTCTTCTTCTCCTCTGCTTCTTCTCCTTCTCTGTCATACGCACAGTCCTCAATGCCTAGCTCCCGCTCGGCGGAGCTCAACGTGGGCGGAGTCAAACGTTTGACTCCGCCCACGTTGAGCTCCGCCCCGATCTGCGGACTGCAGTCAGGGGCTACTCTCTGCATTGGATCATCTGGTTATAACCATACAAATCACACGCCCCCGCACCGATTTGGAGGTTTCTGGTGACATCTAGTGGTCAAAATAATGTAAATAAGTCTAATGGTCTAGGGCAGGGGTGCTCACACTTTTTCAGCATGCGAGCTACTTATAAAAGGATCAAGTCAAAATGATCTACCTACTACAAAAATGCAAATCATATATTTATTTCAAAAAATATTCTGTATACCTACAATGTATGTTTATGTACATGCAAAACTGCATGAGCCAATATAGCACAACACAACACAATTACCTATGTACATTTTTTGTCATTACCCGAGTTTACTCTGATGACTTGCACTGAATTGAATCGGCCAGGGAGGCATAGTCCGGAAAATTGGTGGTAACTCGCTGACAAGTTTGTCGTTGTTGAGCTTTCCTGCTAACCTGGCAAAAGCCAGATTGATGATTGTGTAGAACTCTAACGCGTTCTCCGCGATATCAATCTGGGATTTCTCCCGGAGAATCCTTTCGGGGAAAGGAGGGGTAAGCAGCAGAATACTTGAAGCTGATTGGGCGAAGTGACGCTGTGTGCCCGCCTACCAAGGTTGCCGTCCAGAAATGTACAAAGCGCCTCTCGCTGTTCATCTTTCAAAAAAGAAATTGGAGATTCTGCTAAAACTGACTTTGCGTCCGTCCTCCTGCGTAGCCATGTTTGTTTTGCTTCGGCCCGGCACTTCTTGCTTTCGTCAAACCCGGATATCCCGCCCTAAACCCCCAGACTGGCGCGTGATTGGCTCGCACACCCAGTGGTTCGACTCGAAAAGTGTAAGCGGGAGCGGTACAAGATGTATTCTCGAGTGTTTGTGAACTCACAAATACCGCGAGAATTCAGCTTGCAGGCAAGGTTACTTTCCTGCACTGAGCGCGGTTGTTTGCGCATGTGCAGTCACCTAAGTGTCAGTAAAACATTACTGAGTAAAACACAGATGTCATTTGACTGTGGTGCCATGTCCATGTGCCATGCCTATTTTTTTTAAATCCAAATATTTCCCCTCCTCAGTTTATAAAATAATTTGCATCCACACATCTGCGTTATCAATCACGTTCGTAACATTCCAAACATGTGCGTGTCTTACGTCCTGTCCTGCGTTGGGGAAAAACACAGAAGTGGGCGGAGCTTTGATGCAGACGCCGGTAACGGCACTTTTACAGTCATAGAAGACACTCAGAGTAAAGACGTATGTTTACAAGCACTGACCCCGTCCTCAGCCCTGATTTAGTCCTGGTTTAGTCCTGGTTTAGTCCTGGTTTAGTCCTGGTTTAGTCCTGGTTTGGTTGTTTTCGAGCGTGAGTCCGATCACTTTGCTGCTCTCTGATGTGGAGGATGTTCGCTGCTGCGAGCATCTCACAGCGGACAATTTTTAAGGTAGTATGATCCATGCTTGAGTGATCAGAGGAATTTAGGGGGGTACTGTGGCGTGCGAGAACGCAAAACTCCGGTTATCTCTGTCTACACACAAATGCATTAACGGAGTTTTCAAAAATCTCCACTTTGCCCGGAGTTTTTTGTATATATTTGTTTAGAATGTGTAATTTTTTCATTTATTTAATGCGATCTACCAATACTACCTTTGCGATCGACTGGTAGATCGCGATCGACGTATTGAGCACCCCTGGTCTAGGGTGAAATGAGACTTTCTGGTGTGTAAACTATTGCTTTTAAGCCAGAAATGACAACTGACAATCACAGCCCAGACCATGCCCAACAGTAAGCCCCCCTTCTCCACTGGTGCCATTTTTACAGACAAATTTCAAATGTTCATGTGGGCGGAGTAAGGCTAGGCACAGGTGTTTAGTTGAAAATGGAATAGGCTTATTTCAAAAAAGATTGCATCGATTGAATTTTCACAAAGTCTAAATTAGTGGATAATAATGAAGAATATATATATATATAAGAAACGTGTAGTGGGGGCCCATTGAGACTGTTTGTACCCGGGGCCCTGAATTTGGTGCTACCCCCCTGCGTGTATGTAAAGTGTATTTGTGCTTCTGGGTTTGATAATGATCCGCTGAGTGTGAAGTGTAGAACCACGTGGTGATGGAGCGCACATGGATCAGAACCGAACTCATGGCTAAAGTTATGGACTGGTTCTGGTTCTATTCCTCACAACATGGCTTCAACATTTGTCATCAATCCATAAATATAATCAATATATTTGTAAATTGACCACTTTTGCGTCACTTTGATGTTTGTTTGCGTCACTTTACCGCCATTAGTTTTGTTCAGTCAAGTTTAATTTCTTGTTTCCATATTTTTTATCCATCAGAAAACTTTTTATTAGGTTTAAAATGAATCAATTGGTATTTTATCAGTTAAAATGTCTGTGTAAAGCAGTAAGATTGTTTGTAATTTTTAAGTATTTGTCATAATATGGACGACATTGACTCATTTCTGTCATTTCTGTCATTTCTGTCATTTCTGTCATTTGGTAATAGTAAGTTTTCCATGATCAGAACCAGTTTGATCATATCATTTTATCCAGTTATATATATTTTTTTATAAATATAAGAATAGAAACATGTATATATAGTGACTGAGGTGTGAGTGAGAAGGCTGCGGGTTCGAATCTGAGACGCGGGATTCTGTGTTTAGTTTAATATTATTCTCTTCTCTTCTCACTGAGTCTGATTTCTCCGGGTTCCCCCCAAGACTGATTTTTATTTAAAATTTTTGTTTAATAGTGGTTCCCCCCATATCCAGCGTCAGGGTCCAGAGTTAGTGTAGAATGTTCCACTTTGAGAGGTGTTAGTTCAGTTCAGTTCATCACAAATACAAAATAAAAACATTAACGTTCATTCATTATTAGTGACGTTGGATATTTGTAAATGGGAAACACCTCAAAGCAACATTTAGCTTCTTTATGGTCCCGACCCATTACACAGCACTAGAATAATAATATAACCACAGCCGCTCTAATGATATGTGTTTGTTATGATGCTTTGCTGAGACAGATGGAGCCCGGGCTGAAGCCGCTGCTCTGGGCTCTGGGGCCGATCGGGACCTGCCTTTTCCAGACCCCCCCGGGCCCTTCACAGCTGTGCAGAGACCACACAAAAGTAAGAACAACCTTCATTTGTGTGACTGCGGTGGCGGGAAGTCTTCATCATTTCTTTAAAGATGCAGTCAGTGAGTTTTTACAGACGCATTTTTAAAAATATTTTGTGAAAACGTTCCTAAACCCTAAAAGTGTCAAGTGATGATGTGTTTTCAAATAGTAATGGAATGGACCAGATGTCTATAGTCCTATAGTAATGAATAAAACCAATGGGATTTGTTCATCTCCAACGAACCAATGGGATGTGTTTACCGCCTTCATCCACTTCCTGTTTCTCTGAGAGCACCGGAGTTATCGGATTTTCTAAAACCTAAAATGGCTGAACAGAAAATGCAGATTTCACGTTTGCTTCACTCTCCCTGTGACAAAGAAAATAAAATGCTGGATGTTTGGTTTGGTGGAGAGGGAGGGGGAGTGGTTTAGTGGAGAGGGGAGGGGGGGGAGTGGTTTGGAGTTGATGCTACGGCTAAGCTAACAACATCGCTTACTGCTCCTTTAATTGTGAAATGATATACAGTAGTAGAAGAAGCATTAGCGGCATTAGCCTCCAGGAGCTAAGGTGGTTTGGGGGAAAAGGGATGAGAGCTGAGCCTTGTGTTTGTGAAGCTTTAGGGACAGATTTTGTTCAGATATGGTTCAAATAATGTGTGTTTTTATGTCCAAAAGGGTTTGTGGAAGACAGAAATACACAGATTTCCATATAGTATTCTCGCTTCAGTGACCTGTGACCTCTGAGAAACTGAACGAAGCACAAAACACCAAATAAACACATTCTAGAAACGACACGGTGAACTGAATACATCTCACTCACTACGAATGAAATTATAACTATTATGTGTTGGTGATTGGTGCCGTACGGAGGTGGGGGGTTGATTGCACCTGGTAACGATCCTGATCATTATAGAGAGCAAAAATACACGCCGGTTTCCCGACTAAATACTTCATGTTTTACTTTGATCTTGGCCTCCTGTGCGGTGTGTGGTTGTTGGAACAGTCTTAATCGGGGACACTCAATTCTAAGAGAGAACTAACAAATATTTCTCAAAAGAGTCTTGATTTTGGGAATTTTTTGGAAAGAAAAACAGAAGAAATGGCTGCGTTTCATTGGGGTGGCCTGCAGGGGGCGCTTATCTGGGAAAGCCTTGATCCTCCTCCGCCTCATTCCAGTGATTTTTTTCAAAGTGTCCTCCTTTATATGAGACCACAGTTGGAACATGAACAAACTCTGGTCTTTCTCTATTTGTGCGGTTGCTACAAGCGTACACCGCACAAAAAGATGCTTCTTCTTCTACTATATCTCCGTGTATAAACCACTTCTTCTTCTACTATATCTCTGTGTATAAACCGCTTCTTCTTCTACTATATCTCTGTGTATAAACCGCTTCTTCTTCTACTATATCTCCGTGTATAAACCACTTCTTCTTCTACTATATCTCCGTGTATAAACCACTTCTTCTTCTACTATATCTCCGTGTATAAACCGCTTCTTCTTCTACTATATCTCCGTGTATAAACCGCTTCTTCTTCTACTATATCTCCGTGTATAAACCACTTCTTCTTCTACTATATCTCCGTGTATAAACCACTTCTTCTTCTACTATATCTCCGTGTATAAACCGCTTCTTCTTCTACTATATCTCCGTGTATAAACCACTTCTTCTTCTACTATATCTCCGTGTATAAACCACTTCTTCTTCTACTATATCTCTGTGTATAAACCACTTCTTCTTCTACTATATCTCTGTGTATAAACCACTTCTTCTACTATATCTCCGTGTATAAACCGCTTCTTCTTCTACTATATCTCCGTGTATAAACCGCTTCTTCTTCTACTATATCTCCGTGTATAAACCACTTCTTCTTCTACTATATCTCCGTGTATAAACCACTTCTTCTTC